CCACTCTGTGGGTGTTTGGCAGCAAGGCTCCAGCATTTATTGTTCTTTGGCTTTTCTTCTTTTTGGCAAGGGCCCAACACCTCTATTTGTCTGCTGTCTTGTCTGGGGCTGTTGAATTTTCCCTTGATCTCCTACACGGCCTCTCTTTGTTGTCCCCCCTGTTCCTCCACCACTGACATGGCCCTCATTGTTCTCTGCAGGGCTTCTGAGGTGATGATGAATGTCTCCTTTTGCTCCCTCCTGCAGATGGGCCTCTGGTGGCACGTGTGTCCTGGAGGACACTGGCAAGCTGCCTTTGCACGTGGTCTGTGCCCCTTCCTCTGCCACCTGTAGGGCTCTGCCCACCTGCTCCTCTGGATGCCTTGGGGTTCCCAGAAGACTCAGAATTCAGGACTGTGACCAAGAAGCAGCTGGTAGTAGGAAGTGCAGACTTTGGAGTCAGGCAGCTCTTGAGTCTGCCTGGAGTTTGGCAGTTTACTGCTGTGCAAGTTAGATCTGAGGTTTGTCTTTGGAGAAAGGGGAACCCTTATTAGGAGCCAAGCTGATGCCCATGCAGGAGGGTGGGAGGCAATCAGGAATTGTGGGGCTAGTGTGAAAGTGGGAATGAATGACTATTCTCAGAATGACAGGAGCCCCTTGGCCGTGTTATATGCAGACCTGGTTTCACTTTTACTACGTTTGTTATTTGCACAGGCTTTTCTGTGCTGTCCCTTGAATGGTGAATGTTGGCAGTGCACGGCTATGCTTACAGGTGTTGGTTAGGTGAAACAGTGCTTGTCCCAGTGTGGCTCACTTTTATCCTTTTGTAGCCAGTGAAGTAGGCCCCAGGCCTAACTTTAGCCCAGTGCTCATTCTGCAGTGGCTGCACTGTGCGGTCTACACCGCACAGTGGTGTGCTGAGTCAGCTCTGCCTCTATAGATACTTGGCACCTGAACTGCCTGAAACTTGTTTTCTGGACCACTTGGCACACCCTCCCACTCTGGGTGCCCAGGTGGGGACCTCTGGCATTGATGTCTGTGTCCTGGAGTATCCAACCTGGAACTCTACCCAACTTGGGTGTAGCTCCAGGGACAGAGCAACTGTTGTGTTCTGGATGCAGATGCTGCTGTCCAGGGGTGTGACATGCTGTGCTGGAGACCAGTTGTAGACTGCATTGTGATTCCTTAGTGCTTGACCTTGACTGTTTGCTTCTCTCTCTGAAGCACTTCTTGTGTGCTATTTCATTTAATTGTCATTGCACCTCAGCGACCACAGCACTGTCCTTGTGTTCCCTGGCTTTACCAGGAAGTGGGGCAGAGGTTACTATGTCTGTAGGACATCAGCTGCCACCACAGTTTATTTTGTTCATATATATGATTTTTTTTTATATACTTGTGATTGAACTCAGGACCTTGTGCCTGCCAGGCAGGCGTTTATGTCACTGAACTATATCCCCGGCCCCAAATTTTTTCTAGATTTTAAATATAATATTATTTACCCTTTTTAGAATACTTATAAGTTCTTATTTAAACTGATTTGAGGTTGCTTAAATATGTTTAAATTTTTATATTCGTGTTTTCCAGCCAAAATTTTTTCTGAGTGCACTCCCACCTCCAGTCCCAGATGGAAAATTCCATCCTCAGAGATAACTTAGACTTTGTTAAATTCTGAGCTTTATCAGTTTTTCATTATTTTTATTTTTGAAATGATTACAATATACAGTCCACAGAATTGGAAATTGTAATTTTAAAAAAGTACTGAGAAACTTTAACCCTATTATAATTACTCTGCAAACCTTTCAAGGAGTCTGCAGTCAGTGCAGCTAGATGAAAAGCCCTGATAGATTGGAAATATAGAGGGTCATTTGTCAGCCTCAAGTTTCTGTCTTGTGTTCCCACCCACTTGGTCCCTCTGTCCCTGTAGTCTCAGGGTGATTTCCTACTCTGGGTTCGTGGGAACAGGGAAGGACACTGTTTGATTCATTCTCTGGAAATACTGGAGAGTTTGAAGAAGACAAGACAAGCGGGCCGGTTGTGTCACTTCCTGTTGCCTGATCAAAGTTTGCTGAAGAAACGGGAGTCACAGAGCAACTGCCAGGCAGCAGGCACTTGCCTGCTGCTGACCCCAGTGTTCAGCAGTGCCCAGTTCTCAGTGTGGCCAGTCAGGCCGCCCTGACCTCTGGGCTCCTTAGAAGTCCTTGTGCAGGCTGAGCCGCAGAGAGGGAGCAGAGCTGTGTGTTTGCTGGAACAAAGATGGCTTGTGGATGCCAGATAAGGCTGCAGATGGAATCCTGCCTGGCTCCCCCGAGTTTGGGCATGTCTGCCCTTGGCTTCCTGAGCCTGTCAGTCAATGTCATTTCCCATGCACAAGATCCCGATGTGTGGGAAGGCCCAAGACATGGACGGAGCAGGACTCAGCATTCTGGGATAGTTGTATTTGCCCATAGGAAATTGAATCTTAGAAAAAGGGAAGTGAGTCATGGTGAATAGAGTGGAGGAGGCATGGAGCTAGCGTTGATCAGTGTAGCCCAACAAGAGTTTATTATTGAGCTATGCCCAAGCTGGTCCTATGCTGGGGATGCAAAACAAAGCCTCAGGCCTTGGCTGCAAGCAGTCAGCCTAGGGTGGGCTGGCAGAGCAGGGCAGGCAAGGCACAGGCCTTTTTTTCAGGCAGGGGTCCTGAGAGGTGTGAGAGCAAATGTGGTTTTGTGCCTGGTTCTTAAGTAAAGGTTGAGGGCAAGGTGGAGCATGTTGGAGAGGAGGGCGGCTTCACTGGGAAGGACAGGCTGTGTGGTGCTGTGGCTAAAAGCATGGTTTCCACCAACTTCTACAAAGCCCCAGTCTCAACATCTATAAAGTGTGGGCTGTGTTTTGTCCTGAAGGAGACCTGAGGTTAGAATCACTCCTGAGCGACTCTTGAGAAGCCCATGAGGTAGAGCAGGCTTGGCCTTTGCCAGGACCCTTGGGCCTCACAGGGCTGTCTCAGCTGGGATGCCACACATTTCTCTTAACTTTAGCCCCTGCTCAGTGCCAGCCTCATGGCCTGACATGGCCCTGAGTTTGCTGTGGGTGGGAGGATTGGGGGTGCCAGTGGCCTCTTGCCAGCAAGATGAGCTCACATTCACCTTGTGGGAGGCAAATGTGGGCTTTGTGGGGCCATGGGTAAGACAAGGGGGCCAGAAAGGCATTTGCGAAGGACAAGAGATAGTGTGTGGCACAAGGCGAGTGTGAGAGCAACGGTTAATTTAGAAAAGGGATCTGAAGCTTCAGTGGGGAGCTAGTTTGTATTCAGAGGGCAGTGAGAACTCTTAGCAGGAAAGAACTATGCCTAGTGTGGGTTTATTTTATTATTTGTGCACTTAAAATGTGAATTTCTGAATGGTTTCTGCATACCCTTGTTTGAGATGAGAGTAGACAAATGTGCCAGGAAAAATTTCTTCTCTGCCTCCCACCTTCTCTTACACTCCCATAGTGTGCTGAATCCATGTAGAAGCAAATGCTACTTGTCCGTAGTGCATGTTAGCAGACAGTGAGCACACCTGGCCCCCAGGTAGCAGGAACCCCATGAGAGGTTCCTGTCCTGGCAAGACAGAGGGAATGAGGAGGCGAGGTACCTTGGGGTGGGTGGTAAGGGATCTGGGATATGCTGGCTTGCCTAGTCAGACACACACTGTCTCAGCACAGGGCCAGAATACCTGACACCTGCAGTTTAGGAAAGGAGCCACTTCATTTAGCTCCTGTTTTTGTAACTTTCAGTCCTTGCATGGTCGGCAGCAGGATCGAAGAGCCTGGGCAGTGGAAAGTCTCTCCCTTTCCAGGAGTCAGGAAGCAGAGAGAGAAGAGAGGAGCCAGGAAGAGAGATGTGCCAGCTAGATCCTGCCAGGTCACCCCAGTGCCATCTCTTCCAAACAGACTCTACCTCCTAACAACAAGTTAACATCTGCCCCTGTGCTCCACTCACCTTCCAAAAGCCCTGTCTTTGAGTCCATGAGGTTTTAGGGGACATCCAGATAGAAACCCTAACACAGCTGAGCCTCCTGCCCAAGAAGTACTGGCAGCAGAGCAGTGACTGGAGCCAACAGCCCTGGCTTCTAGCACCCTTTGGTGTCTATTGCTCATGTGACCTAGAGCATGAGTCCACATGCCCCCAAGTCTCTCTTTCCTCATTTGAAACACAGGTAGTGGGGAGGATGTAGTGCATATTGTCAGTGCCAGCATGAGGGGACAGGTCTCCCCTTCACCATGCTGTTGTCAGCAGTCTTCCTCTGCGTACTAGTAGCCATAATTGGGTCTGGAAAACCTCTCATGGAGCATTTTGTAAATGAAGGTGAAATTATGATTGCTTTCAGCAGGGCAAATACTTGTGTTTTCCCCATTCACAAAATCATACCACCTTGTTTTCTTGTTGAAATGACTCTTAAGTATCATTAAAAAGGACACAGTCCCTCTGCAGAGTGACACTGGGTTTCCTCCATTAGCTGCTCTGTCACCTTCCATCCATTTGCTGTGATTGGGCTCAGTCTTGCTATGCAAGGAGAGTTGTAGCCAGGTTTCCACGTGACCCACAGTACTATGAGAAGCACCACACACTCTCCTGGCTCCTGCCCTTTACCTCTTGGGTTTTTTTCTCTTTCTAAACAAGGGCAAGTGTCTAGGCACTGTCCAAGCCTACAACAAACATGAGCTTTTCCTGCTTGGAATGCAAGTGACAGGATGGGTAAAGTAAGGTGTGTGGGTCTGATTCGGTAGAGCTTAGTCCTGCTGCACGTTAACTGTGTGGCCCTGGGCAAGCTGTGTGTTATGGGTCTCAGTTTCCCCAGCTATCTCAGTGATTCTGAAGCCTAGTGACACCTCACAGGTCCAAGCAACTCATCCATGGCCTGGAGCCAAGAGGTTTGTGGTCACTGTCCATTTTTCGTTATCCACTTTCTTGCAGAGCTTTGTCTGACCTGCAGTGTAGGTGACTTTCTGTGGGCCTTACCACCCCCATGCCTCACTGACATTGTCTTCTCTCATCTCAGGAGCCCAGATCATCGACCTGATGATGCTGGTCATCGATGTGACCAAGGGGATGCAGACCCAATCAGCAGAGTGCCTCGTGATTGGCCAGATTGCCTGCCAGAAGCTAATCGTGGTGCTGAATAAAATAGACCTGTTAGCTGAAGAGAAGAGACAAACAGCCATTGACAAAATGACCAAGAAAATGCAAAAGACCCTGGAGAGCACCAAGTAGGTTTGCCAGTGGGAGGAGCTCCTCTAGCATGAGGCCTTGGTACAGACTGGGCAGGCAGCACAAGCCTCCCCTGCCTTAAGTGGAATCCTGCCTGGTACTTGCACCCTTCAAGGCTGTGAGCTGGGAAAAGGCTAACAGGCTGTTAAAAGGCCAAAATCCACATGTGAAAAACTAAAAGCTGTCTTTCAAGAAGTTTGCCCACATGAATGAGGTGTGTTGGCGACTGGTATTGTTGTCTGTTACTTCAGACTGTGAGCACACTTCATCTCTCTGGTCAGAATAAGGCGCTGGCACTCATGTGCCTCTGCTCCCGTAAGGAGATGCCAAGGGCTCTGCCTTGTGTGGAAGGTCTGGTGTGGAGGGCATGGCCCTTTTTGGATTCTCAGTCCTGCCTACGTATCTAGGCGAGACCTCAGTGCAGAGCAGCTAGCAGCCCTGTCCTTTCTCTATCTGCTTCTCCACATCTTGGTGATCAATAGGCAACAAGGAATTTTGGTTGATAAATGATCTTTTCTGTGACAGAAGTTTGTGATACTGGGTGGACAGATGGGTTGATGGTGCAGCTGGAGGCCAGGTGAGGAAAAGGCAAATGACACAGGGCTTCTGTAGCAGCTTGTGCTAGAAATGTGTTGTCTTGTGGACAGAGGAAGTGGTTGCAGAGTTTTGTAATCTGACTGTATGACAACCCATTAGGAGCTCTAGGCCTGGTAGGGAAGTTCAGGGGACACTGAGGCAGCAGGGAAGAAGGGGAGAAGGCAGGCTGCATTTGGTAGTTTTTCGGGGACAGGTAGCGTGGTTCTGAGTCAGGGCAGTGCAGGAGGGAGGAGGTGACCTGGGGCTCTTGAGGCTACCCCTCAGACTTTGTCTGACCATGGGCACTGGTGATTGTCTGGGCAGGAAGGTGCAGGCCCACTGGTCAGAGCAAGATAGTGAGGGCAGGTGTGGATCGTGGAACCAGGAGCCGCCTGGGCTCAGGCAGCCGCAGGGTGACTGATCCTGATGCGGTTCAGATGAGTGAATGTCCTTGTTGAGCATACAGCATAGGCAAACCTTGTTGTTGTATCAATTTCCTACTTCCTCTCTAGTCTGGGCCCTTTTGATCAATACTAAATAGCAGTCACCGGGAGACAGGGATGCTTCCTCTTTGCTATGCAGCCCAAGACAATATCCTGCTACTGCCACCTCTCCTTATCCAGCCTGAGGAGGGCAAGCAAGTAGAAAGTGTTTTTGTTTCCCTGTCATAAAGATTGATACAGCCTCTCATTTATGATTTTTTTTTTAGATCCAACACCTGCAGCTCTCCCTTGAATTCTCAGATTGGTTAAATTAAAGCTCCAGCCCTGTGAATGGGCCAAATATGTCATAAAAGATTTCCTAGCGCTGCCTTTTGTTAGCAAAATTCATCAATCCGATAAAATCGACACATTTAGATAAGTGTTGCATAAGAATTCAGACTTTGTTATTCCCAACGGAAGTGGATATGAGACTGTAAAAACGAAGATAAAAAAATTATATCTTCTTTTTAGTGAGTTATTTGATCTCCCTGCTGTTTTATTTACTTGTCAGAAAAGGGAGAACAGGTCTTTTGGACACCTGCATAAAAACCCAACACAGTGTCAGTGTCACCTTCCATATAAACAGACCAGAAAAGGGCTTAGCATACTTGTGGAGGTAAATTAATAGTTCTCATTTTGGTTAATTAAATTTAAGAAAATTTCTCACTTGCATGTTTGAATTACTATTCCTATTTTAAATTATTGGTTCAAGGTCACATGAACTTTCCTAAACAGCCAAATGAAATTGTCCATTGGAAGAGTCTCAGAACTCTGTCTGCTTGCAGCATGCAAGGGTGCAGAGAAAGGAAAGGATGGTCACCCTGATGGGTGTGATTAGAGGGCCAGTGCTGGGCAGGCCAATTGTCTTGCAAGAGAATGGCAGCTTTTATCTCCGTGGAGCAGGAGCTTCTTAAATCATTTTAAGGGACTTTTTAGCCCTCCTTTGGTCTCTTGCTTAGTAAATGCTAGTCTAAGACTAGAAAAGACAAATGTGTACTGGTGAGCCACACATGTATCAGAACTTGAAAAGTGAGCTAGGCGTGGTAGCAGATGCCTGTAACCCCAGCACTCAGGAGACTGAGGCAGGAGAATGGCTGTGAGTTCAAAGCCAGCTTGAACTACATTGTGAGACCTTGTCTCAAACAAATAAACAAACCAATGAACCCTGAAACATGTTTAAACATAAAACTTTTTGCTGTACAAAGAATAATTAAAAGAGAACTTAGAAAATACACAAAAGTGGTTATAAGAAAGAGGGGACCACCCAGAGATTTTTTTCTCAAAATAGCAGCTGCTAACATTTTGCGTTTTTAAAAATTTCTATCTTTTTACTATATGCAGTATTGGCCTCTTTTTTTTCTACATTTTTTATTGTGATAAAATACAAAGAATGTTTATATTTTAATCACATGGAAGGATATCATTTAGTGACATTAAATGCATTCATAATGCTATAACTTCATCCCCCCCCCAAAAAAAAAAACTTTTCATGATTCCTGACATAAACTCTGTGCCTGTTAAGCAATACCCTCTTTTCTACACTTGTCTGACCCCCTAGGATCTTCTATTTTACTTTCTGTCTCTTTGAATTTACCTATCCTGTGTACCTTGTATCAATGGAATCCTACAAAGTCGGGTATTTGTATCTAGATTTCAGGTAGCTTAATGTTTTCAAACTCATGTTGTAGCACATCTTGAAATTTCAGTCCTTTCATGGCCATATAGTATTCTATTGTATCTACCACATTTTGTGTATCTACTTCTCTGATTATGTATACATGGCTATAGTGAATAATGTTGCTATGAAGTAACATTTGTTTGAGTCCCTGTTTCAAGTCCTTTGAATACATACTCCTGTTTTTCTAGGAGTACAATTATGGGGACAGGTGGTAGTTTGGTGTTTAACTTTTTAAGGAATGTCCTATTTTCCATTGCAAGTGTATTATTTTACATTTTTACCAGTCATGCATAAGGATCCCAATTTGTTCATGACCTCCTCAACATTTATTATATTTCCCCTCAGGTAGCCATCCTAATAGGTGTGAAATGGTATCTCATTGTTTTGATTTATATTTTGCCAAAGATGTGCATCTTCTCATGTGCATGTTGGCCTTCTGTATGTATTCTTGGAGAAATACCTCTTCATGTCCTTCATTCATGTTTTAATTGGGCTATCTTGTTGTTGAACTATAGGTTTATATAGTTTTTAATTAATCTCTTAAGATTAATATCTTAATTAATGATACAGTATATTTCTAAATTATTTCTTTGGTGAACATTAATCTCTTAATTAATGACAAAGTATATTTCTAAATTATTTCTCCCATTCTATACGTTGTCCTTTAATTTTTTGATAGTGCCCTTTTGGTATAACAAGTTAATTTTGATAAGAATATAATTTTTTCTTTTGTTGCCACTGAATCAGTCAGTTGCTTTGGGTTAATGACATCTTAGCAGAACTGTGCCTGTCCATGAACATGCAGTGGCTTTCCATTTATGCTCTTAGGGCTTTATAAAGTGTTTTCACCCACATTTTGTGGTTTTCAGTGTTCAAGTCTTTTACCTTAGTGGTAAGATTCATTCCTAAGTATTTAATTCTTTCTGATGCTGTTGTCATTGGAATTGCTCCTTGAATTTCCCTTTTATATTTTTATTCCTAGTGTATAGAAACATAGCTCATTTCTGTTTATGCTGTGCCCTGTATCATTGCTGACTCTAACCTCTCTCCCCTTTTCTATCATCTAGTGGTAATCATGAGGTATTTTCTTTTTTGGGGATTTGGAGGTTCCTAGGAATTGCACTTGCCAGACTTGTGCAGCTGAACTACATCCTTGGCCCTGGTATTTTCATTTTTAATTGCTACTATTATTACCTAATGTTTACATGATAATTTTTTAGGTAACTATCAGTCTGTTCTTGGCCCTTTAGACTGTGTTACGTTTTCCTTCTCCTGGGCTGAACATCTTTATAAATCATTAAACTTTATGTTTTTAGTTATTTCCTCAGGATAGATTCCCAGGTATGAGATTACTGGATCAAAGGCAAGAACATTTTTAAACCTTTTGTTGAACACTGCCATATTATTTTCCAAAGGGTTCTACCATTTTACAAAGGGGTCAGCAGATAACTTTGCTTTATAAGGTTAAAATATATTTGAAACTATAGAATACTCATGGAGTTTTACTCTTGTTTTGTTAATACTATATATGATTTTTAAATTACTGGTGAAAGTAAACACTTTTTCCTTAAACAGTTGGATTTTGTGTGTGTGATCTATAGCTGTGTATTATGTCTATTAGAAATTTTAATGCTTTGTTTTTGTTTGCAGGAGTGTTTAATATTAATGACTCTGCTGTTAACCCTTTAGCTATCATATTTTCTACAACCAAGTCTTTAGTAGCATTTATCATCCTTCCATTTCAGTTATTTTTTTTTTTTACAGGCAGAAGTTTCTGATTTTTATGTAGTCAAACTCTTTGATTGTTTTTCTTTGTGATTTCTTTATCTTTGAAAGCATTTAAAATTACTCTTGCATAAGCATTTATCAATGTTAACAGAAATCAGAATAGAAGATAAAAATGTACCCACAATCTTCCCAGTGCATCAAATTAAAATGTTTTCTCCCTACGAACCCTGTCAGTCTTGCCCACATGTACATAATTTGAAGTAACTGTTATCACCACATTGACACTTCCGTGTACTAGGCTTCTCTGTTTATTTTTCCACTAAATGTTATCATCTGACAGCATCCTTGATACATCTTTCCCCAGGCTCTCTTTGGGTTTCTTCCTGGTTTTAAAACACTTTCTGTTTCCTGCTTTCTGTTATAGCTAAGGCCCTCTGCTTGGAGCCCACCCGTGGGTCTCCTGGTCCTGTTCTCTGCTTGGGATTGAGTTGGATGCCAGTCTTAAGGGATTTTGTCTGCTGCTATGTGGACTCTT